GGAAGCAGTTGAACGTACTACAGTTCTGTTCCAAGGAACTTCCTTATTATCCCTGGCAAAATGTGGAAGGGAAATCTCTGCCCTGGCTCCAGTGAGGGAGTATTTACACCTCATGCTCTGCCCTACACGTTTTATCTCAGCACACCCATCTGTTACTGCTGGATTTGCTCTCAGCCAAAATCCCTTTGCTTTCTGGGAACGTGCCTGTGGATTTTGTCCATGTTTCCCCCCCCCCATTCCAGGTAGTTTGTTACAGATGACACATGAAACTACTGCCTCTCCCTGCTACCTTGAACAGCTGACTCAGTGACTCTTGCTGAGGGAGTGACTCCTTGCTGACTTCTACAGGGATGGCCTGGAACTGGCAGCTCTTGACCAAATAAACACCTTCAGAGCACTCTTGACTTGGTATTTACCAGGATTCCTCTGCTGGAGGTCATTCTAGGTTTGGGCAATTGATCCTAAGTAAATCCTTCCCTCCAGCTGCCATGCAAAACATTCCAAAACCTTCCTGTCTTCTGTGCATGGAGCCCAGAGAGAAGCTGCCTCAGCTTTATATACTGCCTAATTCACTGGCTTCTTTCCAAAATAAGGGATGTTTGTCAGATGGGTCTGTTTAGGGATCTAGCAGCTTCCCCTCCTTTCCCAGGATGAGCCAGTGCTGGGTTCTGCAGCAGGTGGCACTGTTGGTTGTGTCCAGAGGTGAGTTTGACTTTAATATTAGTGTCCCTCAAGCTCTCTTGGTTGCCAGTGGTCACTTCAGCTCAGTGCACCCTGATAGTCTGTTCTGTTCCCAAAGCCATAAACTTGATTATACTGTTGATGGGGAAGGTTAAACATTTAAGCGTCTTAACATGTAAAAAATTATTACCTTTGTGTGCTAAACGTCTTTTATGCAGCAAACACACCAGCCTGAAACAGAGAATCACAGAAAGGTTTGGGTTGGAAGGGAACTTAAAGAGCTTTGAGTTCCAACCCCCTTCCATGGGCAAGGAATGTCTCTGTAAGACAGTTAAGAAAATGCTAAGCTAGGGAAAAAAAAAACCTTAAAGTGGCAAGTTTTGGGGCAGAATCAATAGCCAACCTAACAGTTTAACATCTGAGAGGCTGATAGTTGTTTTGATTTTTGCACCTTTCGATTTAGAGCAGAGAAAATGAGGTAGATGCCCCATGTATAATGACATCACACCGACTTCCCAGATGATGTGCTTTGAATACCAGCCAGCCAAGGTGGTATTTAACAGAATGTCATCACTTCCACAGGTACTGTGTGTCTGAAGTTTCATTTAGGCTTAGGTACTTCTTATTTGTTCTGAAAACAGACTTTTGGGTCTGTCTTTGGAAGAAAATTATATCTGGATACATTTATTTACTGCAGAGAGATGGAAGCAAAACTGTAGTTCGATTATGCTGGAACAGAAGTGCACCCGTGGTAGGTTGAGAAATGGCAAAAACCAGGTGCCAAAACTCTGTATGGGTAGAGAGAAGTGTGATTTGGAGAAATTGGAAGTGGTGTTCGGTGTAGAAATTACTGGAAACGTTAATACAGCAGCAACAGAAAGCCTGAAGGAAACTTTCAGGGCCTTTATGAGCTTATAACTTCCCTATTTGAAATTACATTATGGAGTTATTTAGATAAGCTTTTGAGATTTGTGTTCATTTCTTTTCCTTACAGAAAAATCTGTAAAGCAGTATTTTTTATTCCTGTGCTTGCTTTGGAAAAACAGCGACTGGTTTTTGTCGCCGCTTTCATGGGTGTCCTCTGAGCTTTGGCACCACTGACACTGCGCTGCTGATTTCATGGGAAGTGGGAAGACACTTTTCCTGGCACTGCACAGGATGCTGCAGCTGCAGAGAGCCTGAACTGCAGGTTTGGAACCCCAGTGTCAGCTCACGTGTTCAGGTTCCCCTGACTGTAAATCCCCACAGCCACCGGAGCTGCCATTCCTTCCGGCTCAAAGCACAGTTCTTTTTCCTTCTGGTTGTCAAGGTAAATAATCAGAAAGACTTAGAATCTTCACCATCATTTTTTTTTTAATTGCATCCCTTCCAAAGGTAAGCAAAGACAACCCTGAAACGGGAAACCCTCAGGCAGGGACAGAGGCAGGGAGGGTAGTCAGAAACAGTGATCAGATGTGGGAAGACAGTGCCAACCCTGAACTGGGGCAACCCTAAAATTTCTCAGAATGTCTCTGGGCTATTCTAAGATTTTCACCTCCTCTAAGCAGCTCCAAACCACTGTATAGTTCTTTATTAGCCTAAAGAGCTCTAAGGCCTCTATTTCCGCAGGGAGACTCTAAAACTGTCATCAGCTCCAAACTGCCACTAAATGGTGCTAAACATCTCTAGGAGTTTATTGCCACCTTTAAAACACCTTTGCATTTCCTGAAACAGCTTTAAAGATCTGGAAAATAGCTCCAGATTCCTCCAGAACTCCTGAGAAGTGCTCTGAGCAGTTCTGAGGAGCTGTAATAATCCCTTCCAAGAGTGCCTGGGTCCTCTAAATGGCGCTAAATCTAAAACCTCCTCTAATCAACTTTCAGGTTCATCTGATCTTATCTAGAGCTCCTCTCTATTGATCTGAAGATCCTCTGGGCCTCCTGAAGTCCTCTGAGGAGCTCTAAACCTCCTTGAATATGCTGGGAGGTGCTCTAACCAGGCAGCTACAAAACACCTCTGAGGAGCTCTGACAGAGCTATTATTACACCTCCTAAATCCCACCCTTTAAAATCATTTAACTGATTCTAAAACGCTCCAGAGTGCTAAACCAGTCTGGACTTACACTGCTCTACAACCCATCTAAGACAGTTTTCCAAAACTCTTCCAATGGAAGATAAAGCATAAACAACGGTGAGAAACTATAAATTCCCCTAAAGCCTCCACTCTGAAAATCCTCTAAACAACACTGATGCCTACAATTCCTCCACACTGCTTTAAGCAGTAAAATGCTTCAAAAGAGATCTCATCCCCCCTCTCAGTTTTCCATGTAATGGCTCTAGAGCTCCTTTCAGCATTTCTGAAACTCCTGCTTAAAGAAACAGGGCTAAAACTTCCCTGAGGCTCCAAAACCACTCTGAACTGTTCTAAATTGATCTAACTCCTCTAAACCCCCTGTAAACAGTTCTAGGCAGCTCTAAAGCCCCCTGAAGTGTGCCAGAACTCCTGTAAAGTACTCTAAACTCGCTTAGCTTTTGTAAACCTCTTCTAAAACAACTCAGAGCACCCCTAAACTGATCCAAAGCTCCTCTGATGCTCTAAGCATCACTAATGCATCTCTAAAGACATTTAAAATGCCTCTAAATCTCTGTTGTACAACTCTGAGCTGCTCTGTGCAGCTTTAAAATTCCTCTGAAAAGCTCAATGCAGCTCTAAACCCCTTCTAGACCAATCTGTGACTCCAACAGACTGTTCCAAGCGGCTCGAAAGCACTTCAGGCTACTGCAAAACTTCTGTGCTGCCAACAGTAGCTCTGAAACTCCCTTAAAATACTTGGAATACCTTTACAGAGCACTGAATCGTCTCTGAAGCTCCAGAAATACACTGTTGTTTTGGGGAGGTGGCAGAGGTTGTGAGAGCTGGGACTGTTCAGCCTGGAGAAAGAGAGGTTACCCATAGGAAGGGAAGAGTTCAGAGAAAAAGGGGATTTCTGGCAAACAAGATGAGCCTCAAAGGAAGGGCATGTGCTTTGTGAGGACCTGCTTATAAAGCTGAACCCTGGAGAAAGTGGTCTCTGCATCTGAACAGCCCACGGGGAGCATATTTCGGGGTGGGGGAGGAATAGCACAGCCCCAGACTCCTGGGCTTGCTGTGTGAACACATGAAAAATGTGCACCCGGAGCACACAACAATGGGGAATTGTTCTCCCTGCAAGCACTGGGTGCTCTCAAAACACGCTCTGATGGGGGTTCTGAGAGTGCACTCTGAAGGCAGATGTTTTGAAGGTTTATTGCCATGAATCTGTCCAGGGCAGTACTTTGTCTTATGGGGTGCTGGTGGTCTGGAAATCAACCGGGAGAATTTTGAGTGCGGGCCCAGCTGCAGTTCTGGTGGGATGGAGGAGGACTGTGCTGTGCTCAGCTGCCATGGGGCCACACCTGGCACTGTACACGGTGCACAGCTGGGAAAACCATGTGGACTGTGTGCAAGGAGCAGTTGTAGCTCCCCACGAGCCATTGTTTTCATGGCCTGACCTCCGTCAGCCCCTCACACAGAGACACCAGTCCTGTGTCCCAGAGCCAGGACACTGAGCTGGGAGTGCTTCCAGCACCTCCGTGGGGCTCAGAGGGCATTACATCAGATAGCAGGAAAAAAATCCTTCCCTGTGAGGGTGGGCAGGCCCTGGCACAGGTTGCCCAGAGAAGCTGTGGCTGCCCCTGGATCCCTGGGAGTGTCCAAGGCCAGGTTGGACGGGGCTTGGAGCAGCCTGGGCTGGTGGAAGGTGTCCCTGCCCATGGCAGGGGTGGCACTGGATGAGCTTTAAGGTCTTATCCAACCCAAACCAGTCTCTGATTCTGCACTTGTCTCCACCCTGTTAATTTGGTAATTTTGAAAAGATCATTTATTTAAGTTTGCAGATAACCATTAATAACCCAAACCGGCCTTATTTTTTTGCACAGTGCGGGCCGTGGGAGCCCGCGGGGGTCACGGCTGGGCTGGGAGGGCAGGGAAGGGGCTGGGCTGAGGAGAGGGGCTGTGGATGGGCTGGACTAGGGACAAGGGAAGACTGGGCTGAGAAGGGCCGGGCTGGGGCTGAGGAGGGCCGGGCTGGGGCTGAGGAGGGCCGGGCTGAGGAAGAGCCGGGTAAGGCTGAGGAGGCCCGGGCCGGGCTGTGAGGGCCGGGCTGAGGCTGAGGAGGCCCGGGCCGGGCTGTGAGGGCCGGGCTGAGGCTGAGGAGGCCGGGGCCGTGCTGTGAGGGCCGTGCTGTGAGGGCCGGCCCGGGCCGGGCTGTGAGGGCCGGGCTGTGAGGGCCGTGCAGCGCTGTCAGGGCCGTGCAGCGCTGTCAGGCGGCGCCGCGGCCCCCGCCCCTCACTCCGCCTCTTGCTCCCTCGGCCATTCCCACCCCGCCGGCTCCCCCGCGCTGCCGGCGCCCGCAGGAGCGGCCCTGGGAGCCGCCGAGGGGCTGCTCGAGGTGAGAGGGAGCCGCGGCCATGGCGGGTCCCTGCAGAGCCGGCCCTGCCCCGCTGCTCGCGGCGCTGCTGGGACACGGCCCGGGTCCTGCCTTTGGCACGAGTCGAACAACACTTGAATAAAGATGGTAATCGGGTCTATCCCTTTCTTCTTCAAACAGCTCGATGACATCCCGAAAGAAGCTGCAGGGTCTTGTAGCTGCTACAATTACTCCGATGACTCCGGATGGGTGAGTTGTCAAGTTGCACTGATTACTGTTTCCTTAGACTTCTGGTTTGCTTCTTTCGTATTTGGAACTGACCTGCTTTGTTTCTTTCTTTTTTTCCCACCTTTTTCTTTTTTTCTTAAATCACATCTCTGATGGGATGTGGGAGAGCTGTTGGGTTGGTCCCGATAGGACCGCGGTGAGATTCCCTTTCCTCTGCCTCCTCCTGTTGCCCAGCAATTGCTGTAGGTCTGGGCTGGGAGAGTTTGGATCAGTCTCACTTCTCTTTTTCTGCTGCCCTGCAGGTGCAAATGAAATCATAGCAAGCTTATATGTGAAGAGTATTACAGTGTTTTCACGTTTGTTAAGGAAAACCATAGACTTGTTACAAAGAGCTCTTGAGAGCTAGAAAATAATTGTCAGAACCTGAAGGCCTTTCAGATTCCACTTTACCCTAGCTAAGTCATGCATGCATTCATTTGTGCATGGGGTTAGTCTAAGCCTGAAGGAAATACTGCAAGGACAGCACAGTTCTGAAAATAACATGAAATCGAAACTTGAACTTCAGCTTTCCTCAGAACAGGGGTGGCAAACAGAACCCTCCTGGCTGCATTTTGATGTTGCAAGACAGAGTTTCTCGGAGTCAGCAGAGAACCCTGAGGTCTGGTGGGGGATGTGCAGGATCTGTTCGTGTTTTTGAGGGAGATGGTGGAGATTTGCTGGTACAGACTTCCAGAAGTGAACTTCACTTTTTAAGAGTGCTGTGCAGCTTGGCACTGTCCCAGTCAGGGAAGTCATTCAGCTGCAGGCACTGCTTTGTTTCTTGCTTTAAAGGAAACTTGTTTCTGATTTCACATTTTATCACAACTCAAATTTATAGAAACATGGTATTTAGAGAGTGACCTGAACCCTCTGCCTGGAATGCATGGGCCTTGTCTGATACGTTCTGGGAAGACAAACGTGGAATTTTGGGTGATGTGTAAAACCAGTCAAGGCACCAGAATTGACTTGTAGTTTAAAGTCAATTAACTTGTAGTTAATTGACTCTGTATGTTTAAAAAATGGAAACAACAGCCAAATATTATACACTGGTAAACAAAACAAGTTTGTCCTGCAGAGAAGATAAACATAGAATTCTGTTTCCTCTGTTTGTTGGGGAAGTCTGTTGCTTTCCTCATCCTTTAAAGAGAGAGAGAGAGAGGTCAAAGTCACATCCAGCAGATGCCATTTCAGTGCCTGTATCCAGAAGTAGTTTTAACTATTTACCAGCACTTGCACAAAATCTTCGTGCTCTCAGGAGGACTCCTGATTCCCACAACAGCTGAAAAAGGTTTGAGTGCCTCCTGTTGTCTCCTATCTCCCCCCAAAAAAGTCCTCTGCTGTGATGAGCCTGCAGTAATTCCCAGTTGGGATAAAAGGTTGGAACTGCTTGTCGGGAGGAAGAGAAACTAGAAGAGGGAATTCAGAGCTGAGCTGTTACCTCAGATGTTAAATAGATGCTGAGAGTATCATTCCTTGGGGAAATCTGTGCCTGTACAAATGCAAGGTTTCGAAATACATGGGTGGGTTTTTTTTGTTTGTTTTCTCTGCAGACAAATCAACCTTCCGGTGATCCGTCAGTACGTGGATTATCTGGTAAATGAGCAGCATGTGAAGAATGTTTTTGGTGAGTGTTTCTTTGACTGAAACTGTGTTACAGCCCTCCTGCCTGGATGGAAATCCTGTGATATCTCACCTGATAAGAGCTGTAGTGGGGAGGACTCTGGGTGTGGGATCATTATATTCACCAGTGGAAAGAGAGCAAGAGGCACTTAAGGCATCTGCTTCTGCCCACATCCCATTTCTGTGGGGGATAAAATAGGTGTTGCCCTCACAGGGTGACACTCCAGGGGTGAATGGATAATGTGTTGGCAGAGAGGGCTCACTGAGTGATTCTCCCCAACCCAAAAAGTGCCAGTTCTTGTGTTCAGTGAGAACAGTGTGTGTAGGTGAGGCCTCAGCCAGTGTGTTGTGTGTTGTGTGTTGAAACAGTGAATGGCACGACAGGAGAAGGGCTGTCCCTCAGCATCCAGGAGAGGAAGCAGCTGGCAGAAGAATGGATGTGCCAAGGAAAAGACAAGTGAGTAGCTGAGAGGGAACAGGGGATTGCAGATACCATCATGATATCAGCATAGAAATAGGTTTAGAATGCAGAGGTACACTGTGATATCCTTTACTCTTCCCAGCTTCCCCTTAAACCCTTGACGTCCTTATTCCAGCTTCCTAATAAAATACTGGGATTTGTCCCTCCTGACAGCCTTGCAAGTGCAGCAGTGAGGAGTTACACATGATCCACGCTTGCAAATGTGATTTTTTTCCCCACCACCTGTCGCTTGTCACTGTTGGCATTTTCCCAGCGTGTCAGCTTGTCAGGCTCAGATCCTTTCGAGGTTCTTGTTCTGTGGCTCCCTGGGCTCATTTTGGCAGCCTGGCATTTTTCACCATCACTGAAATCTCTCCAAACCTCCTGAATTTGTTTTTTTTTTTGTTTGGTTGGTTTTTTTGTACAGATTGGATCATGTGATCATTCACGTGGGAGCACTGAGCCTGCCGGAGTCCCAGGAGCTGGTGTGTACCTGATACCATTCCTTTTCCCTGTGTGTGATAAATAGAAGCAGATTGTACCTTCAGGTACTTTCCACTCTGTTTTTTACAGGCCAGACACGCAGCAGCCATAGGTGCTGGTGGCATTGCTGTCATAACCCCCTTCTTCTTCAAGCCCACAAACAAAGGTGAGTACATGTGACTGCTGAGGCCTTTTTATTGCCCTCCAAACTTTGATCATAGATAAGGGATTAATACCATGTCCTGTCTTTGGAAAATGTTCTGGTGAGAACATTTGCACACTTGTCATGGAAAAGCAAAACCTCCAAGAAGCGTTTTTTTTAAAGATGAGAATCTTAAAGTTCCCCTGGTAAGAAGTGGGAAAGGTGTCTTTTGGGATGTGTTTTGTTAGTGTCTTGTAAAATGAAGACATCGTCATTCTTTGATTCTTAAAACGATACAAGAAATTTGTCCAAAAACCTGTTCATCATCACCACTGAGCAACACCCCAGGGAGGTGAACGTGACCTTGATCCCTTGTCTTTTGGTTACACACAAGTGACCCTGGTGAGACCCCTTGGCACACAGTGTGAGAGCAGGCCTGAGTGACACCTGCAAGAGAATGAAGGAGTCACTGAACTTGCCTTGGTTTAAAACGTATGCTGTCTTTGCCTTCCTTAAGGTCTTGCCGTGATTTTTGTCATATTTTAATGTGTTAATGACGTGTGAAGGGTTTTATATGTACAGTGCACAGCTCCTGGCTGTGAATATGAGCTGTCTGTCCCTATGGAATGCCTCCTTCTCTTGTGGGATATGTGATGTTTTCCTTCCAGATGAGCTGGTCCCTTTCTTACAGAAGGTCGCGGCTGAGGCCCCTGCTGTTCCATTTTATTACTATCACATTCCTCCTCTGACAGGTGTGAAGAGTAAGTACAGAGTGCAGACCTTTGGCCATTTGCTTTGTTTATGTGGTGTTTCTGGGTGTACGTATTTACATTCAGTCCTAAACACGTTGTTGCCAGTTCGTGCCTAAACGTTCACTTCATGCAGGGCTTTTGTGTTCTGATCTGGTAAAAGAGCCTTGCTTTTTGTTGCTTTAGAGCTCTACAGTTTACCGGGCTCAGGCCTGTTAAACAACTTGTAAAATATTAAGTCTCCCTCCTGGGGCCGTGGCAGGGGACTGTCCCAGAGCAGGGGGTGTGTTCCTTCACGTGAGCTTGTGTCCTGTCCACACACAGTTCGTGTGGAAGAGTTGCTGGAGGGAATAAAAGAACGGATCCCCACCTTCCAGGGCGTGAAGTTCAGCGACACGGACCTCCTGGACCTCGCCCAGTGCATACACAGGAATGAAGCACAGCAGCTTGAATTTCTTTATGGGGTGGATGAGGTAAGGGGCTCCTCTCAAAAAATAATTCCTTCTAAGGCGTTCTCTTGCTTCAGCCTTGGGGAAAAATAACCCTGGGCACTCAGTGCCAGGCGGTTTCGCTGCTCCCTCCCACCACCCCTTTTTTATTCTTTATTTTGTTACATGAAGTAAATTTATTTTTTTTTTTTACTTTTTGTTTCTCCCCCTCCCCACCCCAAACTAGCAACTGTTGGGTGCACTGGCACTGGGGGCAAATGGAGCAGTTGGCAGGTCAGTATGGCTTGGACTCCCTCCCCTCCATACACACACCGTGGTGTTGGATCTTCCACTGTATTTCCCTGACTGTCTCCTGCCACCACAACGGAGGATTTTACAGGGTGGGGATGTACAAAGGCAAACAGACACATAATGCAGCCCCAATCCTAGTTATGGGACAGTCATATAACCTGGGCATCTGAGCCAGTGTCCCTAAGCTGGCCCAAAAAGCTGATACTTTTTATCCTCACAGCAGCTTTAGAAGTGATCCCTACTTCAATCTTCATTGTATGTGCAGGGAACCAAAACCCAGAGAGGTTAAAATCATTACTTGGCATGAGAAGTCTGTGAGGAAAAGGGCTCTGCCAAGTTTATTTCTGGTTTATCTTCTGCCCCTCTTACCAGGCTGCTTAGATGAATTACTGTGTGATATCCGTGTTCCTGTTTAGAGGATCCATTAAATGAACAAGCAACTGGAGAATTAAGAGGTTGATGGATCTGCTCTCTAAATCTTCGGTAGGGCCTGGCATACTTCAGATGCTTGGTCACACATAGATTGCACAAATCTCTCTCTCAATAATGGCATTCTTACCCTGTCTACAGCAAAAGCCTGTGGTTACTTGCTTTGTTTCACTGGTTTTAAGTTCCTCCTTTGCATTTACCGATTCTCTTTTTGCTTTGTTTTGGGGTTTCTATGGTTTTTTGGCAGCACATACAACTATCTGGGCCGGCAAACCAACCTGATGTTGGAAGCCTTTGCAAGGGCAGACCTTGCCTTGGCACGGGAGTATCAGGTACAGAACCTTCCCTGAGCTTTACTGGGGCTGTTTTCCATCTCCTCGGCATCCATACCCTGAGGGAACTTTAGTAAAGGAAAGTTCTTCCAGCTCTGTCCCCCCTGCTTGTCACTCATCCCTCCTCAGCTTTTTGACCAGTCCTTACTAACTTTTAACTAAGATCCGCCTCACTTACCCTTCAACTCTAATCTCATCCGTGCATGTGAGTCTTTTTCCTTGAGCAAGGAATATGACTAGGAATATTCTGGGGATAACCTCCATGATGCAGGGCAGAAAGCTGTCCCAGGACAGCTCTGCCTTCACCCCTCTTGGTCTTGGGCAGCTTGGAGATTTGTGGGGAGTTCTGAGCCATCAGTACACAATCTGTCCCCAATGTTTTTGTGGGACATTTGAGGCATCCCTGCCTTATTCCAGTGGAATTCAATTAGTATTTTCCATAGACTGGCCCGGTGGCCAAGGGCTGTTCTCAAAGCTGGGCTACAGCTGTATAAAACAAAGATATCATCGTATCTCTAGATGCTTTTACACCTTGAAACTTGAAGGTGTTCATAAACTGCTGTTGGTCTTTTCTAGTTTCTCACTGGGGAGTTTCTCAGCTTCGTCATCAAACTGGGTAAGTGAACTGGGGAATCACCGCCTGTTTCACTCACTGTGTTTGAAATGTGGACGTGCTGCTCCCTCAAACTCTCATGTTGTTTGGAATTTCCTTCCTGAAAGATTTCGCAGTGACAAACTGTAGCATCTGCTGTTTCCCAGCTTAGCAGCAGCTGGGAGCTGGGCAGAGGGAGCTGAGCAAGCATCCCTGACAGATTCCACTCTCCCTTCCTTCCTTCTGCTGCGAAATCTCACAGATTTAAAGCTGGGACTTTGTGATTTACCCTTTTTCTTACCCTGACTATTTCTCTGGGTTGTTTTTTTGTTATTTTTTTTTTCCCTCCTGTCTCCAAAAGCTCGTTTCTTTATTTCTGCGGTCATTTTTCTGACATTTTTCCTCCTGCCCAAGGAGGAAAAGAGCTTCGATATTTCTCTCTCCCGCCTTGCTGTAGTTTAAGAGGAACTTTGTTGAAGGTTGTACAAGGGCAAAACATTTTAAAATTGACTGATTTTTAGGAACAAAATCAAGTTTAAATACAAAAAGCAATTAAAACCAACCAATTCAGAGTGTTGCAGGGAGGCTGAATCAGACACGAAATGTTTAAATTAAATTGAATCAGACACTTAATGTAAGAGAACTGTTCACTGTGGATTTGCTGGGATGTGCAAGCCCTGCTTAATGTAGCCGAGCTTCAGTGCTTGATTTTATTTCTTGGGTTCAAAGTCAGAGGAATTGCATTATTTTTTAGCCTTACAGATAAAGAGGCAAACACTGAATTTCCAGAGCTGTGAACAGAGAACAGAATGTTACCACTCCTAGGGTTTGCCTTTGCAAGAATCTGCACTGGGGGTCGCCTATATATAAATAATTGTAGTGAGCAGGTGTATTTTTTACTGTAATGCCTTTCCTGATTGCAAGCACAGTTCCCTCTTCTTAGCTATGCTGTTCTCACTTCCAAGCAATACTTGAATGATGGATCACCCAGGAAATCCATGCTGCTGCTTTTTTTTGGCGCCTGTTTCGGGGCTGCTTTAAGCAAGATGATCTGCACATGTCCTGCTTTTGCTTTTTGTCTGCCCAGGTTTTGGTGTTGCACAGACTAAAGCTGTAATGACTTTTGTTTCTGGCATCCCCATGGGACCTCCACGGCTTCCGCTCCTCGGGGCCTCCGAGGAGTTCACTGCCAAGGCCAAAGCCAAGCTGGACAGCATTGTGTGGCCTGATGGGGACTGATCACAGAGTCCTGGACTCACTGAGGTTGGGAAAGACCTCTGAGATCGAGTCCAGCCATTAACCTGACACTCCCGGGTCCACCCCTGAGCCACGTCCCCAGGTGCCACGTCTACGATGCTGCTCTTCACTTCCACGTGGATCTGGAGCTTCCTCTGCTGGGATTCTCTGCCATGTGGCACATCCCCCATGTGCTGGGCTGGGATTTCTTTCAGGGAACTGGCAAAGTGCCCAAACCCCTTCCTGTTGGGGTGGCTTTGCTGGGGGCACATGTAGCCCAACACTTGACACTGCTCCTCTGGAGCTCTGCACATTCCAGGTCTGGCTGGTACCTTTTGATAAAAAAATCATCCCTGCTGCTGGATGATGTTTTGTCGTCCCCATGAGCACTACACTGTGTTTGAACAACAATGTGGCACCCTCAGGTTGCTCAGACTGGTATCTGTTTGTCAGAGTCACTGGGACACTGTGCGTGTGAAATCCTGCTTTTGTCTGATCTCTTTGTGTTCATACACCTTAATACCAAATTAAAAAAAAAAAAACATCCCTTTTGCAAGGGATTGGGATTTAACAAGCTTTGGCTTTCTAATAAGCAGCTATTTCTCCATTTGTTTTCCTTAGGACAGGAACAAAGTCAAGGCTGAGCTGTGCACCTCTATATCCCAGTGCAGAATGCTGTCTGGCAGGTTAGGAAATCAGAGAATCATAGAACCACAGAATGGATTGGGTGGGAAGGGACCATAAGGCCCATCCAGTCCCACCCCCTGCCATGGGCAGGGACACCTTCCACCAGCCCAGGTTGCTCCAAGCCCCGTCCAGCCTGGCCTTGGACACTTCCAGGGATCCAGGGTTAGCCACAGCTTCTCTGGGCACCCTGTGCCAGGGCCTGCCCACCCTCACAGGGAAGGATTCCCTCCCAGTATCTATCTATCCCTGCCCTCTGGCAGTGGGAAGCCATTCCCCCGTGTCCCGTCCCTCCATGCCTTGTCCCCAGTCCCTCTCCAGCTCTCCTGGAGCCCCTTTAGGTCCTGGCAGGGGTCTCCCTGGATCCTCCTCTTCTCCAGGTGAACCCCCCCCCCCACTTCTCCCAGCCTGGCTCCAGAGCAGAGGGGCTCCAGCCCCGGGAGCATCTCCATGGAATCGCAGGGAATCCCAGAGCTGTCAGGGTTGGAAGGGTCAGCTGGCGCAGGTGGTTTGGGATGTGTCCGGCAAGGATCGCTCCCCGGGCGGCTGTTCAGGCTCTGCCCTCAGGGACGGACCGCGCTGAGGGGCGGGCGCTGTGCCGGCCCCGCCCGGCCCTTCCCGGCCGCCGTCCCGCCGGGCCCGCGCAGGCGCAGCCGCTGCCGCTGCGGGCGGTGCTGCTCCGGAGCCTCCCGGAGCGGCGGCCCGGCCATGGGGGACGTGAAGAACTACCTGTACGCCTGGTGCGGCAGGAGGAGGCTTATGCCCGCCTACGAGATCCGCGCCGCCGGCGGCCGCGGCCGACAGACCTTCCTGTGCGAGGTGCGGGCCTGCCCCGCCGGGGGCGGCACACAGGGGCTGTGCGGGGGCCCTGAGGGGGGTCTGTGCTCCTTGAGGGGGGTCTGTGTTCCGTGACGGGCAGCTGGGAGCTCCGAGCGAGTCTGGGGTCCCGCCGAGGGTCTGCGGGGCCCCGCCGGGGCTCTGGGGTCCGTGCCTGTGTCCTGGCGGTGTTGCCGGCGGGTTTGGGTGCCGGGCCGGAGGTCTGAGCTCTGCTAGAGGGAGCCTGGGGCCGTGCCGGGTCTGCACTCGCTGCCGGGAGGGCCCTGGAGCTGTGCCGGGGGTCTGGGGATGTTGCCAGTGGACGGGTGACAGGGGGCCCTGCCCTGGGGGTCTGAGGGCCCTGCCCGGGGGGTCTGAGGGCCCTGCCCGGGGGGTCTGAGGGCCCTGCCGGGGGTCTGAGGGCCCTGCCCCGGGGTCTGGGGGCTCTGCCAAGGTTTTCAGGGGTCCCGTCGTGCCCGGCCCGGGGGGGTTCGCTGGGAGCCGAAGTCTCAGGGGGGGCCCACAGCCCCGGCCGTGTGTGAGGGGAGGCGCAGGAGAGAAGCAGCCGAAGGATGCTGCCACATCGAAGAGAAATTGGTCTTCTTAGGGGTGGTGAGTGTGTGCGGTCCGTTTTGCAGTTCAAAGAGCTGTCTGTCACCTTTGCTGAGAGCTTTGGCCTGCGGTTGAACTTGAGATGGAACGTATCAGAGCATTCCTGCTGGAGTGGCTCCTAGGCCAGGCTGTAACAGCGCTCTGCTCCTGGCTCTGGACACGGGGGATGTGGGAGCTGTGAGTTCAGGTTGGCTCTCAGGAGAAGCTGGCACTGGGTGTGCAGGATGGGTCAGTCTGTGAGCAGGGCTGGGGATTTGCACTAAACACCTTGAATGTGTCGTTTTACCCTTCCTTCTCGTTTATCTTCCATGTCAGTAACAAAACTGAGAAGCACAGTGATATTAAAACAGTTTTCAGGGTGTTATAACAGACTGAGCGTTACTCAGGTGGAGTGGTTTATGCACAGTTAGATTAATAGAATCTCAGGATGGTGTGGGTGGGAAGGGACCTTAAAGATCATCCAGTCCCACCCCCTGCCCTGGGCAGGGACACATTCCACCAGCCCAGGTTGCTCCAAGACCCGTCCAACCTGGCCTTGGACACTCCCAGGGATCCAGGGGCAGCCACAGCTTCTCTGGGCATCCTGTCCTGGGGCCTCCCCACCCTCACAGGGAAGAATTTCTTCTCAAATATCCCATCTAAACCTACTCACTGTCAGTTTAAATCTGCTTCCTTTTGTTCTGTCACTCCATGCTCTTGTAAAAACTAATATATATAAACTAATATATAGTATATTATACAATATATGGGGTTTGTATGTTGATGCCCTATGAGCATCCATGGAAACCTAACAGGTGAAAGGATGAGTCTCAGTAAAACATTCTCTGTTGCTGATTTTCACAGCCTGGCTGTGAATCCAGTACAGTTACTGGTTGGTTGGAGGTGTCATTGTCCAGGACATAGAATTGCTGCTGTAAAGTAAAAAAAATCAGAAATTATTCACGTTTTTATCTGCAAGAATGTGGAGATAAGGCTGAGAGAACACTGGCTCACTCCTGTGCTTGTTGTCCGAGGGCTTGGGATTAAGGCTGAGGAAAGTGATCCTGGGCAGGGTTTGCTGATGTGTGTTCCAGGGTCCCTTCCTACACCCATTCTTCTTCTTCCACGAGGTTTTGGGAAGCACTGGTGCTCTGAGAACGGAGGTTTTCAGGATGTGGGAGTCCCTCTAGTGGGCACAAAGGATGCAGTCAAACCCTGCAGAAACACATGGCTGTACCTGGTGATCCGTAACACCACTCAGCGATATTTCTCCTGCCGTGTTTCTGAGCGAGCAGCCTCGGGTGTTTCAGCCAGGCCTGCTGGTTTTCCAGGCACTCTCACCCCGCCAGCTGTGGGTTGCTCCCTGCAGGTCCGAGTGGAAGGGTTCAACTACGTGGGCATGGGCAACTCCACCAACAAGAAGGACGCGCAGAGCAACGCTGCCCGAGACTTCATCAACTACCTGGTGCGGGTGAACGAGGTGAAGAAGGAGGAGGTCCCTGCCTTCGGGGTAAGCTGCTCTTCCTCCTTGCCAGAGCCTGACCTTTCCCTGCAGGGGGTTGCTCCCAGTTGTGCTTCACCCTGGAGTTCAGTCCCCCGTGCAAAATTACAGCAACAAAATAATAATCACAGATACCTCAAACCAGGCATTGAAAATCTGGCATCTTTTTAAACCATAAGTGCTTGCAGCCACAGCTCCTCAGGTGTGTGAGAGGATCTCTGCTTTTTGTGACCTTGTATGAACCATCAGCAGTGACTAGCACATAAAAGGCTGAGCTGAGGAGGAGGGTAACTCTGTCATTGCAACAATTTTAGAGAAAAAAAATAAAGTAAATAAAGCCTGAAGTTGTGTGTTATCTGTTGGGAAGGAAGAGACTGATTCAGTTTTCTCAGCCTTCTTGCCTCGTTAGCTGAACAGTACAACTTACCCTGTACCAGTGTGGTGAGGTTTTCCTTCCTTCCCTCCCCCAGCCAGCCCCAGGTGACGCCCCTGATGGAGCACAGGAAGCAGCTAGAGATGTCACTGGTTCCAGTTCAGCTCTGGGAGGGCCCCTTCCTCCACATTTGCTTTTAAAAAGTGAAGTAGGTAAGGCTGAAAACAGTAATTTGTGTGTATTTGGATGTATCTGAGTGGTGATTTTTCTCCTCGGTGCTCTGCAGACAGGGGACATAGTTTTGGGGCAGAGGTGTGAATGACTGTGAGATCTCCAGGAAATGCCTCTCCAGTGCTGAGAACCTGTTTGGGGGGGGGTATTTTATTTTTGTTTGTTTTTATCCCCCTGATAGGCAATGGCCCGGGTGCAGCACCTGGAAACTGTGGCAGTCACGGAGCTCAGTGGGATCGGGGGGCCAATTTGCAAGATTATTATTCAAGGAAAGAGGAGCAAGAAGGTCAGGAGGTAAGTCATGCTGTGGAATTCTCCTTTAGTTCTTAAATAGGTACCTGTTTCACCCCCTTTAATTTGTTCTTTGCATTTGTAATCAGGCTTGGAGTTTTCATTTTATATTTTGCTGTTGGTTGTAACTTAAAATGCAGATTTACTCGCTGACTTTTAACAAAGGCAA